ACATTTAATTTTAGAGGTTTACGTTTAAGGATGAATTTGACAGCGACAATGTTTCAAAATTAGGAAGGGAAGCAGTGATTATTTGATTATATAGACGCTTCGCCCCTGACATCAACAACAACAGCAACTGAAAACAAATCAACAACAGCAGCAACATCAAAAACAAACAACAACAACAACAACCAACAGCAGTGAAATTAACAACTGCTACAAAAATGACCATATTATTATCATTTTATTCGCAGTTTCTGTATCAATATCAGTCAAATGCTGCGGCAAAAAGTGAGATCATGCAGAGCGGAACAGAACAGTCCAGGACCAGGACTCTTGACTCTGACCCAGATTCCCCGACACGACTCGCCAAGCTTTGCCTGTCCCTCTTTTCAGGACTCGTCAACCCGATGATCTAGGCCTACCAAACAGTCTTACGTTACTGTTAGAATCTTGCTTCTCACATTTTAAAAAATATCAGTATCACTGTCCCCGTCGTTTTATGCAAGAACAATTCTGAAATTAGGCAAACTTGAAACTGAGCCCCAAAATGTGAAATTATGCGAGTCTGTTAATTTTAACAAAGAATGATAAAAGAAAATACATGTAGAATCTATATCTAATCAGAAATTATGCAAAAAATTATCAAATGTTGCTACATTATGCGGGGTGCATAAAACCCCGGGGACAGGTATCAGTGGTGAGTTTTGCCGTACCACACTTGCAAGTGTATAAGGTCATAATGACATCATGTGAGCGTGCGGGTCTCATATTAAGTTGGTTGTTCTCAAAATAAATTAGTTCACACACCGCGGCTCGGTTTTTACCTTATGTCTAATGTTAAAAAAAAAATATGATGGATGACAATCATTTTATTTTTCAATTTCCTTTATCAAAATTTGAGTCTGACTGGGTCTGTTTTCTTCCATGCCTCTTCATTTTGGTGTTGTATGTTTCTTTCTTTCTCTACAAGATCGATTAAAATCAAATTACAACCCAGCAATGCAATTTTCACGTGTTTCTTTGTTTATTCAAATTGTCGTGCGTTCTTTATGTTTGGTTTGGTTTGGTTTGTTTTAGCGAGTGTTTTACGGCACTTGCAACACAATAAGGTCAAATAAGTGTCGAAGATCAGGTGTTGCAAGAGAATAACAATAAATACAAAATAGAGGGAGGGTAGATAAGGTGGATAAATGTTTGATAGGGTAGAAGTAGAAGAAGCAAAACACACCGGAGCACCCGCCAACCACCCACTTGATTTGGTTTGCTTTGGTTGTGGCAAGTGTAAAGAGTGTAGCGTCACATACAGTGATATGTACCAGTATCCGTGACACAGCGGTTATTACAGGCACATCACTGCCACGCGTAGGAGACCCGAGTTCGATTCCCGACTGGAAGTATACCGACCTAGGCTTTTTGTAGAGTACCTCGAATCTATCTTTCTATTGGGATAATTGGTATTCCTCTCAGCTCACGTTGACCCTAAAAGGCAGGGTCAGAAACCTGCCTCCTAAATGATTTAAATTGTGTTGACGAGGGCGTAAAAATAATATATTATATCTACATTTATAAAAAAGGAGAGCTATAGGAAAGATATTTTATGCATTTTTCAAGTGTTAAAGAATTGTTCTCTGTGAATGTATATTCTGGGGACAGGAATAAAACCTACCAGCTTTTGTTATTTAACTGGGGTTGTTTTTGTTGTTGTTGTTGGTGGTTTTTTTGTATGTTTTGTTTTTCGTGAGTGACAAAAAGGGAGGGGGGGGGGGTAAAATCAATAAGCTATGTAAGGCTTGGCCTACAAATATAACACTCACCAAATCAATAATTGCGAGGTGTGCAGACAAAACGAGTTACTTCTCGCAATCCACAAATGGAGATATATTGGCCAAATATCGACATTAGGGTTAAATCTGTATTCTTTAAATATTAACATGCTTTTTAAAATTATTTTATACTTATAAATTGTAAAAAACTTCACCTATAAGCGTGATATGTATAGGCCTATCTACATGTATTCCTATCAATCTAGGGCTCCCTTCGGAGATGTAGGCCAACTCATCAGTTTTTGTCAGCATGTCGCCCAATGGCCTTCTGCACAATGTGCTCCAACCATGGCCAGCGAGCTTAATCAGAATACCCCACCCCCCTTTTCCCAAACCCCCCAAAATAATAAAACAAAAATTCCGCTACACACAAGAACATAGGCTAGTTATCGCATCACCAATCAATCAAAATTGACAAAATACCCGCCAATTAGGCTCTCTCTCTGGGCATCGATACCTATAATCTATATATAGGCCCTGAAATGTAGAAATTCCACTGCAGAGCATTGATTGAAAGTGAGTCCGTCTTAGGGGATTGTATAGGAACTACGATCAGGAATAAATGGGCCAGCTAGATCTAGCCAAATTGCAATTTACTGCTCAACAGTGTTCGAGTTAGGCTAGTGTGTACATACGTAGCCCCCACTCTTTCTTTTTCTCCACATGTTACATGATCATGTAAATAATACCGCGCGCGGTGCGTGGATTAACACAGAAGCCACACGCGCGTAAGTAATGTTGGGCAATATTGACAGGGTTTCATTGGCACTTAACCTCGGCCGAAACTGCTCACAGCTAAAACAGCTCTGTCCACGGTTCGATACATCGATCAATAATGTCTATTGACCTTCTTTGTCAAGGGTCGAGAAATCGCTATTAATGGCCGATACTCTTGGCGTCTCGTTGACTGGCAACTTGTCACGTGATCCTATCGCTTCCGTCAAGATGGCGGTTGTTTACTCCTGATACATGGTTGTTCTGTGAGAGTTGATGTGCTCGTCATGGATAATGCAGAAGTTACTTAACTTTAAAAAGTTTTGATTTTTATGTTCTGATAGTCCAGCTTACAACTTTCGAAGGTGAAATTTTAAATTATCTGTTCAAAACTGTTTTCTTTCTGTGTTTCTGTACTTTTCTTTCAAACACGGTTTCAAGAGTTCAGACAAAACCTGCATGCAGACGATAACTGGCGGGGGATGAATTTCGATTGTTTGAAACATTTTACTGTCTAGTCTAGATCTAGATCTACATGCTAGAACTTGATCTAGAGAAATCTAGATCTAGATCTAGAATCTATGTTTTGTGATGATGGCACATGTGGCTGAGTACACCAGTCTGTACCGGAAAGTGTCGGTAATTAATTGTGAATACAGGCTGACCAACAGGGATGGTGAAAGCTTTTGGGCGGGTGATTTTGTACTTTCGTTTGTTAACGTGAAGAGTAGGGGGGTTTCAGTGGACTTGCCCCCCTGACCTAATAAAAGTATGGAGGGGGGGGCCCCCCCCCCCCCCCCCTGAATTTTACTATATAGACTTCTAATTTGATGTTTTGCAGTTAGGTTGCATCCCTGTTCTTTGTGTTGCCTCTAATATATATTTGGTCATCAAGACTTCTGGATTTCTTCTCTGGATGAAAACAAATGAATTGTGGACTTAAACGAACGGAACTACAAGATCTCCAGCTGTTCTTACTTTGCTGCATTTCACCTCGTTAATCAGTTCTTGATGAATTTGTGTTGTGATTATTCATCAGTTGAGGTGCTTATTTTTTTACTTTTATTCTCACGCCCTCTGCAACTACACATTAAAATGTTTGTATTGAGCGACAGCAACGCTTTCCTCGAAAGAAGCGCTTTCAAACAAAATAAACATGATGTGCCCAGGGTAGTAGAATCTAGATCTAGATCTACTTTTTAAAAATAAAAGTCGGAAAATAAAGCATCTAAGGACAGGCTAATTTCTTGAGAATTTTTAATTACAAATAGCAGTACGAGTTATAGAATTATAAAATACAACAGTTGTCAGTGATACAACAGAATTGATTTCCCAAATCCACTTAAATCTGAGTTAGAAGTTGTAAACTGGAAGATTGCAGTTTTATTAAAATGTACCCCGAAACTTGATTCCCTTAACACCTTTGTCTTTCCATCTTATGACACATGTGACATTTTCTCGTTGTAACCTTTGTGCGCAAACTATTTTCAAGAACTGCACAGAATTATTCACTTCTCACTGGACTTCCTAGACTAAGAAGAGGGAAATGGAAAGTGTCTGCTTTTGTCAGCTTGTAAATCTTGCCAGGCATTTATAAGAAAATGCATTGATCTAGTGTTGTTTATTCTCGCTTTCCTTTTTATATGGTCTGGCAAGGCACAATAAGAAGAGGCTCAAGTCTTGAGAAATTCTCTGTCTGTTTTATTTTTTTTTATTGATGGGGGTAAGGAAATACTCTCAACAAATTATATTTCTCTCTTTTTTCGCATGGTTCGACATGACATATGGAACGGCTCTTCGCTAAATCTTACCTTTGTCTTTAACTTTTTTTGTATTGGGAGGAGTTGAGCAAAGGCTTGAATTATAGATCTAGCAAGGTATTTTCGTCTTTATAAAACATTATAATTATTTTGCTATATATAAGAAAAGATTTTTAACTAATTCTTTACATTTTTTATTCACACTTGGCTTAGCCTGATAGAATACTCTATCATCTTGTTCTTTGCCTTTCCTGCTAGATCTCAGAAAAAGCTGGTTCTTTAACCTGCAATGCAAGTGATTTTTATATATTATGTAGAATTTGTTATTTATGAGTGTTTTCTTATGATGAGTCATATATATAAGAAAAAAATTGAAGAATATATACATGATTATAAGAGAAGTTTTTTATATGCTGTGCCATATTAAAAAAAAAAACTACACACAGACACACACAGAGAAACTGTTAAAAAAAACTTTTTCTTATGATGAGCCACACAAAAACTCCTAGAAAATTCTTTATAAAATCTTTTTTTCATGCTGAACCACAGCAGAGAGAATTAATTGTTATAGTAATTGGGCCTT